CCACTAGTTCTTCTGACATCCAAGCTTCATCTGTAGAGTTGATTTTTTTATTTTGTGGCATTTAGTATATGATAAATTATAGATACATGGGGAAAGAATTTAAATTAATTAATAACAAGCAAAATGAGGATTTGTAACTCTCCAGTCACCATCCTGATGAATAGTCTTAGTTTAAAAGCATAGGGACTTTCATAACTTGTTTGGATGTTGCACTCTGTGTACATGTGTGCACATGTGTGCATGTGCTCCTTCATGATGAGTTCTTGCATGTATGTGTGAGTATACATAGGTGTATATCAGGTGTGAGGTTGATCTGTTGGAGAGATGGAGCTAAATGGATATGTGTTGCAAATACAGAAACACGAAGCCCAGCTAATATTCTAAGTACGGGGCATTGTAGTGAGGGTAGGTGCAGAGTTCTTGAGGAGAAAGGGTACTGGTAGTGAATGAAGTTTGGGCCACAAAGCATTGCATGTGTGTGGGGTGCATGCACACTGCTTTCTGATACCTGCAGTCCACACTGCTCTATCTAAAATACACAAATCTTCTGCTTGTACTTGAAAGTGATATGGACATAATGGTAAATCCTACTACAGCATTTTCTCTTGAAAAAACCAATTAAGTTACCAATAGAGCTATACACTATATAAAAATTGTAAGTAGCATGAACACACATTTTTGCCAACTGTGGTGTGTGTGTGTGTGTGTGTGTGTGTGTGTGTGTGTGTGTGTGTGTGTTTAAAATTGTTTTGGAATTCTCCATGTAGCCAATGTACAGGTCTCTGGGCTAAATGACATCATTAATACCATAGAACTTTCTTAGGGTTAGCTTTCAGCCATGAAACATACAGACTTCAAAGCTTTTAGGAACTAGGAACTTGGGAGAACAAAAACAGATCAAGTGACTGGGTAGAAGCAAAGCACTGGACAGTCCTTTTCTTGGATGGCCGTGCTCTCTGTCAAACACGCCAGCATCATGTGCTAAGAACTGGGGTCCACACTTTCTCCAAGAAGCAACCTTCCTACCAAAGACAGATATGGGTTAGAAACTCTCAACATCCTTGGCCTTGCTTAGAGTGTGCAAAGTTACCCAAACTATGCAAGACTTTTTCCACACATAACCTTAGCCCTCTGTCAGGAAGGGCACCTTCCATTCTTCCCAACCCTTCCTCCAGGCTTCTCTAATGTCTGAGGCAAATCCTTACCAATGTTACACCCTGAGGTTCTACAGAATATCACTTAATGGAATACAAGGGGAGCTTTTTTTTTTTTTTTTTTTTTCAGCCTGAAGCCAACATGGCAGAGATGGAAAGGAAATTGTATGGTTTTCTATTCATAAGAAATGAATCTTTCAGTTTCAGAACCATCAGTTCTCTTTTATGGAACCATTGTACCATGAAATAAACAGCCTACTCCCTGAAAAGCAAGCTACCTATCAGTTAGCCTTATTTAGACATAACAAAATGCCTGAGACACACTTTAAAAGAAGAAAAGTTTACTTAGTTGCAGAGGTTTCCAGTCCATAGTTAGTTGACCCCCTCCTCCATGGCTTCTGTCATGGAGGAGCATTTTGGGGAGAAAGCTGTTCCCTTTCTCTGTTTCCCAAAGGGAAAGTTGTGGCAGTTGAGAGGCAAAGACTGCTTCCCACAGTGACCTAGGACCTCATTCTCGGCCCTGCCTCTCTAGTTTCCACCATCTCCCAATAGTGTCACACTGGAACCACCATTACACACCCACCTTTGAGGGACAGCCAAACCCAAACTACCCTGGTATCTTTCCTCAGAGAGGAAAGGTGGTGCTGAAGAGAGGACAGGGGAAGACACAGGGATGCAGGTGAAATTGCTTCGAGATTGCCAAGTAGGTGCAGACATCTAATCTTTGCCAGTAATAAGACCACAGTTATGTGGAGACTAATCTGGAAATAATCTCTGATAGATTGTCCCTATTGTGAAGTAGATTTGTGGGATTTTTGTTTTGTTTTTGTTTTTCTGTATCATGTCTGTTATATTCCTGGGAAAGAGTCAAACTATATATTGCTTTCAGGAAGAAACAAAGTAGAAGGGAGGCCACTATACAAGAAGAGATGGCCAACCTTCCCTGACTTGGATCACAGGAGAAGCAAAACTAAGCAGGCAAAGACACCAGTCACCAGTGTCCTTATTGCCTTCCACCTCTCCTCAGACCTCCGTGTTCAGGCAAAGCAAAGCAGGATGCTGGTACTTTGTTCAGAGGAGAAAGGCTGCCCTTGTTTGCCCCTTACCATGTGACAGGGACTTCCCTCTTCCTGTTTTCTCTAGGCACTTCCTTCAGTCTTGAGCAGAGACTGTAACTAGAGCTAATGACAGCAATTAGTATTCAGCCAGAGGTGCCTGCAAACACCAGGGAAGATGAGCCCACCCCGGTTGACATAGATCAAGTTGTGGCAAGCAAAAGCCAATAACTCCATGGCAGAAACCTGCAGGACTCTGGAGTCACCTTCCCAAACCAAGGAACAGCCCCATTGACTCGAGCATCATCTATGATGCCTGGTATGAGTGGGGATCAAGAACCTTGGAGATACCCCGGGCAGTGGTGGCACACGCCTTTAATCCCAGCCCTTGGGAGGCAGAGCCAGGTGGATCTCTGTGAGTTTAAGGCCAACCTGGTATATAGAGTGAGATCTACAAAAGAACTTTGGAGATAATCCCTTGCTTTACATCTAGTATCCACTTATGAGTGAGTTTGTCCTTCTGAGTCTGGGTTACCTCACTCAGGATGATATTTCCTGTTCCATCCATTTGCCTGCAAATTTCATAATGTCATTGTTTTTGTTTTTGTTTTTGTTTTTGTTTTTTTACAGCTGAGTAATACTCCATTGTGTATATGTATCACATTTTCTTTATCCGTTCTTCAGTCAAGAGGCATCTAGGTTGTTTCCAGGTTCTAGTTATTATGAATAATGTTGCTATGAACATAGTTGGACAAGTGTCCTTGTGGTTTGGTTGGATATATGTTGAAGAGTGATATCATTGGGTCTTGAGGTAGATTGATTCCAAATTTTCTGAGAAGTCGCCATACTGATTTCCAAAGTAGCTGTACAAGTTTGCACTCCACAAACAGTAGAGGAGTGTTCCCCTTGCTCTACATCCTCTCCAACAAAGCTGTCATCAGTGTTTTTGATTTTAGACATTCTGAACAGTTGTAAAATGGTATCTCAGAGTCCTTTTGATTTGCATTTCCCTGATGACAACCCACAGCTCCAGAGAAGCTAGTTAACAAGGAGGACCCTAAGAGGGACACATGAATCACCTTGGGAAGGGGAAACAGATGAGATTTCCATGAGTAAACTGGGGATGGGGACTGGGGGGGAACAATAGAGGGGAGGGAAGGGGGGATGAGAACATGAAGGAACAGGATGGTCAAGCTTGGGGAGGGATGGAGTGGAAGATCAATGAAAGAAGTACCTTGACAGAGGGAGACATTATGGAATAAGGTAGAAAGCTGGTGCTAGGGAAATTCCCAGGAATCCACAAAGATGACCCCAGATTAGACTACCAGCAATAGTGGAGAGGGTGCTTGAACTGGTCTACCCTGGTAATCAGATTGGAGAATATCCTGTCATCATAGAGCCTTCATTTAGTAACTGATGGAAGCAGATGAGGAGACCCACAGCCAAGCACCAGGCTGAGCTCAGGGAGTCCAGTCGAAGAAGGGAAGAGGGATTATATGAGCAGGGGTGAAGGGGTAAGATCATGATGGGGAAATGTACAGAGACAACAGAACCAAGCTTGTAGGAACTCACGAACTTTAGTCTGAGAGCTGTGGAACCTGCATGGGACCAGACTAGGCCTTCTGCATATGAGACAGTTGTGTCATTTGGTCTGTTTGAGGGGCCCCTGGCAGTTGGATCAGGATCTATCTATTCCTGGTGTATGAGCTGGCTTTCTGGAGCCCATTACCTATGGTGGGACACCGTGCTCACCCTTGATGCAGCCAGGAGGGGTTTGGTCCTGCCTCAACTGAATGTACTAGGCTTTGCTAACTCCCCATGGAGGACCTTACCCTTTTGGAGGAGGGGATGGGAGGGTGGCTTGGGGGAGAAGTGCTGTGGGGGAAGTGGGAGGAGAGCAGAGAGAAGGATCTGTGGTTGGTATGTAAAATGAATAATTTTTTTTTAATTAAAAAAAAGAACCTTGGAGAAACTGCATATGCTGATTAGGATGAAGTGTTTTTAGAGCATGGCTTCCAGCTAGCTACCTTCCACTAAGCAGAAACTGCAGATAATGTGGTCCAAAGGAAATGTGCAGGTGAACATCATGTGAAGGAAATGAGGAGCTACCTGCCTACTATTTCTTTATACCAGAACCAGACAGGCTGGGAGAACCAACAGTGGACGATAATCACCCCGCTCCTTCATAAAATTGCAGTAAAGCTTAAGAAACAGTGAAAATAGAAGGAAATTTACCTGAATTAAAAAAAAAGTTTTCAGTCCAAAATAGTGAGGCATTTGTATATTAAGCATAGAGTCCAGAGCATGTTAAATTTGGCATTCCAGAATAACTCATACCCCAGCATTCCACGGTGAAGGCAGAGGATAGATGCAGAAAGGGATGAGTGAGAAAATGTTATTTTGTTCACTCACTTCTCCCTGTCTGCAATAGATACAATTTGCTGTTCTAAGACCCCGTTTGAACCCCACGGGTCACTTTGTAAACATACGGGCTTTATTTCCAAAGAGCTTCTATAGACTTCCTTCCTCCTTGGAGGATTCAGCTCAGTCAGTCCTGACATCTTGCAGGATGAATGTCCCAGGAATGTCCCAGGACCACACAAGTGTCACACAAGAGCTCAGAAAGCACTCCAAGCGGAGCTGGCAGACAGTGCAGGGCTCCAGGGGTTTTCCTTCAGTTGTAAGCCAGCTGTGAGGCTGACTATCAATACTGAGCTGACGGGGACCCTGTAAACAGACATTTGTTCTTTCATTTCTGTCCCAATAACACGTAAAATAAGGCGACCCTGAGTAGAATTCTGATTTTTATTAGAGAATATATCTAAAATACATTATCCAGTAAGTTATATGTTATCTGAAGGGAAATATACTCTGTATCACAACTATACCAATTTTTACATCTTCATTTACATCTCTAAAATTCAAAAGTCACCAAGTTACAACATAATTCATATTTAAGATAAGGTTGCTACAAATATATAAGCATTTTAAAAGCTTTTCTTTAATATAACATCTTGGAATAGTGAACTTTTATCTAATTTATAATCATAAAACTATGACTATTTTGCCTAATTTGCTTAAATTATCTCAGTTTGTCTCATGATAGGGGCTTGTAATCAACCATTCTACTTTCCTATGTTTTAAAAATAGCATTTTAGTAAACAGGCCTGAGTACTCATTATCCTGTGGCTGAGGCAAGAGGCCATTTTCTGTCCTTTGCAATAGATTGCTTTGACTGAGAAGGTGTGCCGTAAGCCAGCCACCAACCAGCCGTCACACTACCACCATGCGATCCACCTGGGGCTTGTTCTTCACATTTTATTAGTAAGCACAACAGGTGAGAGAGGAAAGGCCTACAACATCAGACACAAAGGCGGGATCCAAATCACCAAGGTAGAATTGTGCTTAGCTACAGAGAGGCGCCACACTTGTAGTGTTTGGACGCCCACTCCAGGACCATTTTATTTGAAGGATGCTTTGATCTTTCTGTTCTTCAGGGGCTGGGCCGGGCGCCAGTTGTCCACCATCAGCTCTTCAGGTTCGCCCTCCGTGTTGAAGTTTAGTTTACGGAACACAGACATCTAAAGGATACGATGAAATTAAAAAAAAAAAAAAAAGTGTCAAAATATTACATACTTAACTGGCATGTTTTCTCTTTAAATGATGACTCCAAAGCTCAGCAGTGGTGACTCATGCCTTTAATCCCAGCACACAGAGGCAGACAGGTCTCTGAGTTCCAGCCAGCTGGATCTACAGAGCGAGTTCCAGGACAGCCAGGGCTACAGAGAACACCCCCC